ACTACTACTACTACTACTACTACTACTACTACTACTACTACTACGTACTACTACGTACTACTACTACTACTACTACTACTACTACTACTACTACTACTACTACTACTACTACTACTACTACGACTACTACTACTACTACTACTACTACTACTACTCCTACTACTACTACTAGCTAGCTACTACTACTACCACGCTACTACTGCTACTCTACTACTGCTGCTGCTGGTGTCTGCTGCTGCTGCTACTACTACTACACTACTACTGCTACTTGCTACTCGTCTACTGCTACTGCTAGCTGCTGCTACTGCTACTGTCTACTAACTCTAACTACTCGACTACTACGACTAGCTACTACTACTACTACTACTACTACTATTATTACTACTACTACTACTATTACTACTACTACTACTACTACTACTACTACTACTACTATTACTACTACTACTACTACTACTACTACTACTACTACTACTACTACTACTACTACTACTACTACTACTACCCGCTCGCATCCTCCTTTTCCCCATTCCTTCCGCCTCCCTCCTCATTCCTCTTTCGTCCCACACTCTCCCTGCTCCTTCGCCGTTCTGCGTCCTCCGCTGTGTTCTCCCCTTATTCCTCCTTTTCTTCCTTCTTTCTCCTCCTTTTCCCCTCCCTCCCCCAAATGCCCCGTCTCTTTTTCTTGTTGGTGTGTTTCTCTCTCTCTCTCTCTCTTTCTATCTTTCTCTCTCTCTCTCTCTGTCTCTCTCTCTCTCTCTCTCTTTCTGTCTCTCTTCTCTTTCGTGATCCTCCCCTCCTCTTCCTCCTCGTTCTGCTCCCCCTCCTCCTCCTCCTCCTCCTCAGCCTCCGCCTCCGCCTCCTCCTCTGGACCCCTCGCGGGAATCCGCCCTTGACAGTTCTACATCCCAGGTCGATTATGCCCCAGAGCTTTCAGCGGGCCTCCAGGGATTGAAAGTGACAAGAAGCTTGTTACCCTGAGATCGGGCTACGCAGAACAAGTAAAAACAAACATCGTGCGAAACAACGTCTGCAGCCCTTCTCGAGCCAGATCGACTCGCTGGCCTGAGGGTCCGAAATCGGTCGAAATCGCCCAGCGAGAAGAATTGCGACGCCCGTATCTCCTGGTTCGAACCTCCTCCTTCGGCTACGAATTAGAGTGACCTTTCGCCGGAGTGACCTGTAGTGCGGGCCCTCAGGGGTCCATCCTGCACTGGCTTGCGCAATGAAATTTGGCCTCCCCGTGGCCTCCTCAAGCCGCGCACCAAAGGTCCGCGAATGCCTAGGCCCACTTTTTTTGTAGCCGAGTCTCTCAGGATTCGAACCTCCGTCCTTCTCTCCCCCTCTCCGAGTGCGACGAAGGGACGTCGCAGCTGGACAGAGCCCGCGACGGACCGGGAGGCCTGGTTCTGCCTGGAGAGCCATCACGCCATGCAGCATTGAGCGGGGAATACCACCAGCGCGCCCGCCCCCAGGGCCTCCTCTTGGGAGCTGCGCCCCAGCCTTGAGAGCTGTCCAGCCCTCCTCCCCTTCGGGGGCAATGTTAGGGAGGACCGTCTCAAAAGGGAAGCATCGACCCCCAATCGCCCATTCATCGCCAAGAGGGGCCCGATAGCCCAGACCCGCCCGAGACAGTGTGGATTTGCAGGCGGAGGCTAGCCGGCGATCTATCGGCGATGTATCGCCGATTCCAGGTCGATGTTTCCCCGCCAGAGTTGGTACCCCCCTATCGTTGCCCCTCACTCTTCCTTCTTTCAAGCCCTCCAGCCATTCTCCCCCGTGCTCGACTACACGTAAGAGTGACCTTTCGCCTGAGTGATCTTGGGTGCGGGCCCCATTGGGCCCCCTGATCGCCGAATGCGAGGCGATAGCACCGACTTGCGCGCTCGGTGGTGCCCCCAAATGGCCCCCCTTGGCCGCGCACTCAAGGTCACTCTAGCCTAGGGTCGCTCTTGCGTGTAGCCGACGTGCGCGCAGCAGGACCTCTTCCGTCTCCTGGATGCCGACCTGGACGGCAGGCTAGACGGGGACGAGTTCTTCGCGCGCCGCTTCCGGGCGTGCGCTTTGCCGCAGGCCCCACGACGTCGCTTTCGCCGTCGCTGTCGCCTTTTGTCGTCGTCGTCGTCGAGGGGCCAACACCCTAGCAAAACCAATGATTTTGGCTTCCTCGCCGAGGCCGTTTTGGACGATGCGACGACTCGCGAAACCCCTTGTCCAGGTCCATGGGGGGGGGTAGGGGGAGGGGTCAAGACTCCCTCCCCGCCCGCAAGCCGTCTCGCGCCGCCGCCGCCGCGCGCCGTCGCCGCCGCCCGCCGCCGCCGCCGCGCGCGCCGCCGCCCGCCGCCGCTGTCCGAAGCGCCCGCCCCCGCGCCGCCCGCCGCCGCCCCGCGCCCCCTGTCCAGGTCCATGGGGGGGGGGGTCAGGGGAAGGGGTAAACCCCTCCACGAAGGGGAAGGAGGGGTGGAAGAGGAAACGTTCTAAACCACCGACGCCCAGAGGGGTGGTGGGGTTCTCTCGGGGGGGGGGGGGGGGGCGCCGCGGTCTTGTGCGTGCTGCCGGGTGCGCTCCCTTCACCACGCATATCCCAAACCCTCGATACCCGCTCTGTTCGTTTTTGATCGTTACTTCTTAGGGGGTATATGTTTGTCTCACCTGCAACGCGTATTTTGTGCAGCGCCTAAGGCAGAGGAAGAGAGGACGAATGGAAGGAAAGGACAAAGGGGAGAGAGGGGGATGGAGGACGCGAGAGAGAGAGAGAGAGTATCTGGAAGGGGGCAGGCACTAGCGGCCACGTCGAGCAGGCGGGTTCCTGAAGCGTGCGTCCTGCATGAATCGCGAGGACGTCTCGAGCGACAGCGCGATTCCAATGCAAACCTTGCAGAAATTCACGCGGAGAGCGTGATTCCTGAGTGCCGAGGGCGCGGTTTTCTAATAGATTGAGGAGAGGTCCCACGCGAGAGCGCGATTCGTGTTTTATTTGAAAAAAGGTCCCGCGGGAGAGCGCGATTTCTGAATACATTATAAGGAAGTATATGGCGGGAGCCGTTGTTGTTGTAATTCGGTGGCCGAAGACGCAGTTTGGTGACACCACACGTTCCTTGATAAAAAACAGCGTGCGAGCCCCAGGAGGGAATTTAAGAAATACAATGGTTACCGGAAGGGGGATCAGCAATATCTATTCTTCCGAAGTGAATGTTCAACGACGCGATGGGAACGCAGTGCTCGATCAATCGCAAAGCACATGCAACCAGCGCCACGCGAAGAAGATTGGAGCCCTGCTGCCAGCAAACCTAGCACGCCCGGGCTTCTGTACCAATATGGCGCACTTCTCCCCCCCGCCATCCCCCCCCCATCGCCCCCGGCTGCCTTCGCCGCTGTATAGGGGGAGGGGGGAGGGCGGAAGCGGAGGGTGAGCACGAGAGACACGAGGGAGGACGGGGAAAGGCGCAGGAGGGCGGACAAGGAAGAGGAGGGGGAGGAGAAGGAGAAGGAGGAGTTAGGAAAAGAAGGAGGAGAAGGAGGAGGAGGGAGGAGAAGGAGGCGGGGGAGGGGGGAGGAGGCTGTGGATGGGGATTATGGGGATCATCGGGGGGGCGGAATAAAGTTGTAAAGTGGGGATGCGCCACGTGCGACGACGACGGACGACGAAGACGATGACGGCGACGGACGACGACGACGACGAAGACGACGACGACGACGACGACGACGACGACGAGGACACCGACGACCCACGACCGACGGCCGACGACCGACGAGACCGACGACGATGACGACCACCGACGACGACCACGACCACGACCACGACCAAGACGACGACCACGACCACGACCACGACCACGACGGCCACCCTCCAGAACGGGGGACACGCCTTCCCTCCGACCTTGCTGCTCCGCGCTTCCTCCTCCCCCTCGCCCCGCAGGGCGGCGCGGCCGCCGACGCGCCCGCCGCCAGCTGAATTCGGAGCGACCGCGCGCGCTCGCGCTGCTCCCAACTCACTTACTCGCTTCGCACCGCCCTTCGCCCTCCTCCTCCTCCTTCTCATCCTCCTCCTTCTCCTCATCCTCATCCTCATCCTCGTCCTCATCCTCCTCCCATTGCTCCTCCTCCTTCTCCTTCTCCTCTTCTTCGCATCCTTTCCCTCTTCCCCCTCCTCCTCCGCCTCCGCCTCCTCCTCCTCCTTCTCCTCCTCTTCCTCCTCTTCCTCCTTCTCCTTCTCCTCCTCCTCTGGCGTGAGGCTGCGCAAAGTTACTGTGGAGGTGACATGGAATTTTGTAGTGCGAATGGCTCGGTCCGGATGTTTTGTTTCAGTTGGAGGAGGTGCCAAGTCACGGGAGACAGTTGTCGGAGTTGGTCTTCGTCACAGCAGTGGGAGGAGTATGGCTTGCAGCCAGGAAGCACAAAGTGCGCAGCGACTCGCCGCCTGTGTGCCCGCGCTGCAAGGCGGGGCCAGAGACCGTGCTGCAGGCTGTGTCGATGTAGTGACTCCCCCGCGTAAAACAGGCCACCAAACAGCCCCTCAGCGACTACTGCTACTACTACTACTACTACTACTACTACTACTACTACTACTACTACTACTACTGCTACTGCTACTACTACCACTACTACTACTACTACTACTACTACTACTACTACTACTACTACTACGACTACTTCTTCTTCTTCTACTACTGCTACTACTACCTACCTACCTACCTACCTACCTACCTACCTACATACTACGACTACGACTACAACTACAACTACTATTATTACTACTACTACTACTACTACTACTACTACTACTACTACTACTACTACTACGATTACTACTACCACTACTACTGCTGCTACCACTTACTACTACGACTACTACTACTACTACTACTACTACGACTACTACTACTACTACTACTACTACTACTACTACTACTACTACGACTACGACTACGACTACGACTACTACTACTACTACTAACTTACTATTACTACT